ACCCAAAACTACTAAACCCTAAACCCTAAACCCCTAAACCCAAAACCACTACACCCCAGACCCAAAGGGCTTAGAGTTTCGGGTTTCGGCCTTAGGGAGGGACCCCTAAACACAAAGCCCCTAAACCCTCAAGGGGTCCATGTAGGGTTTAGGGTTTAGGGTTTAGGGTTTGGGGTTTAGGGTTTAGGGTTTAGGGTTTAGGGTTTAGGGTTTAGGGTTTAGGGCTACGTGTTCCATCAAGCGGATGTGTAAGGATGCTATGAGGGTTCTGTACAGGTACTATATGGGCTAGGGGATGTTATGGGTCCCCTTCAAGGCCTAAACCCTAAACCCTAAGCTTAAACCCTAAACCCTAAACCTTAAGGACTCGTGAAAGGGTGCTGTCAGGGTTCTGTATGGGTACTGAAGGCCAGCTTGGGGCTTAGTAAGCACGGTTTCAAGTACCCAACTGGAGTTATATGTAACTATAACATACCATAACTAACTATAGTTGCCTTAATTAGGTAAGGCCTAGTTATTAAGTCCCATGATCCTTTAAGTATACGACCCAACGAAAATGAAAAAACAAAACGCCTCCACCCAAAACCGAAGCAGTGCATGATGCAGGAGGACCTGATTGCAAAGCCAAACAGTAGAATCCCTGTCATCAAGATGCCCAGAATCAAGGACTCCCCCCTAAACCCTAAACCCTAAACCCTAAACCCTAAACCCTAAACCCTAACCCGTGAGATGCCCAGAATCAAGGACTCCAACTTAGAGGATCCCGGGACTTAGTAACTAGGGTTTAACCAAATACGGCTACCATAGCTACAAGTACCTATAACTCCATTAATATACGTAATACCTTACTTACTATGACCCATGATCCTGAAAGTACCCTAAACCCCTATAGATCCCTTAAAGGAGCATTTACTTACTAAGCCTCAAGATCCTTCAAGTACCGCGAGCCCTAAACCCTTGTAGACCCCTTAAAAGGACCCCTAGTTCAGCCCCTGTAAAACCCATAGGTCCCAAGCTCCGAGTCCTTTGTGGACACTGAGGGTTTAGGGTCTAGGGCTTAGGGCCCTTATGGCCGTACTTACCAAATCCCAAGATCCTCTTTGGGGTTTAATGTGTAGGTTCAAATACCCAAAACCCTAAGCCCTTGTAGAGCTCCCCATACACTGCGACTCTTGCCTGGGCCCAGATCGCAGAGGCCGGGCACCCACCAGCGCCTTCAGGGTTCAGGGTTCAGAGTTTAGGGTTGTGGGTCCAGAGTTTAAGGTTTTGGGTTCAGGGTTTAGGGTTTTGGGTTCAGGGTTTAGGGTTTTGGGTTCAGGGTTCAGGGTTCAGAGCTTAGGGCTTAGGTTTACTTGGGGTTTAGGGTTTAGGGCTTAGGGTTTAGGGACCCAGCCTTTTGAAAGACCCGGAGCTCAGGTTTCAATCAAGAAAATCGCACCAACCCTCGCAAAGCCCGGCAAAGACTCTACACAAACCCTGGGCCCTCATACAAGCCTTTTCATAGCCCTAGGTACATGTCTATGAAGTTTTTCAGAACAGTCCAACAACACCCCAAAACCCAAAACCCTGAAGCCCTAAACTTTGAAAGCCTAAACGTCCCCCCCAACAAAAAAAAAATTAAACAAACCCTAAACCCGTAAATGACGCCTGCCATTTTAATCTAAGGTTGAACCCATGGGCCTAAACCCTAAACCCTAAACCCTAAACCCTAAACCCTAAACTAGCATGGGCCTTCAACCCTGGGATCCTTATACACCTACTATATACCCTACATGTACCCTTAAGGGTCCCTGGAAAAGCCTAAGGGTCCATATTAGCGGCCCATACTTCTAACCCTAAACCCAACACCCTAAAACCTAAACCCTAAACCCAAAAGCCCTAAAACCCTAAAGCCCAAAAATCCCAAAACACCCAAAAACCCTAAACCCAAAAACCCCTAAACCCCTATAGATCCCTTTAAAGGAACACTTATAGATCCCTTTAAAGGAACCCCTACATTCCCTAAAGCCCCTTTTGGTTCATTCAGGGGCCCATACTTCTAACCCTAAACCCTAAAACCCAAAAACCCTAAACCCCTAAAACCCCAAAACCCTAAACCCCGAAACCCTAAACCCTAAACCCTAAACCCTAAACCCCGAACCCCTAAACCCTAAATCCAAAAGGCGGGGCTTTCGTTTCCCCTTTTGCTTCCTTCGCCCTAAACCCCTATAGATCCCTTTAAAGGAACCCCTAAATTCCCTAAAATCCTTTTGCTTCCTTCGAGGCGAGGCTCGGCTCCTTTGGCGGCCCAGGGGTCCCCGGGGGGCCGAGGCCAAGAAGAGCGTCCCACGCGCGGGCCGCCCGAGCCTGCCGGGGGATGTCGTAGCGGCTCTCGCCTTTTTTTTTTTTGGTGCTGGGGGTGGGTACGGGCTTTGAGTTTTGGGGGTTTAGGGCTTTAGTGCTTCAGGGTTTAGGGCTTTAGGGCTTCAGGGTTTAGGGCTTTGGGGCTTTAGGGTTTGGGGCTTTAGGCAGTTAGGGTTTAGGGCGAGGGTTTAGTTCAGGGCGCTTTGGGGAGCACAACGTTTTAGGAGCCTGGCGGGAGCTCTCAGCTCTCAGCTGGTGATTGGGGAGCTGCGGGGTTTTAGGTCAAGCTTAAAGGGGTTAGGATGCTTTAAAGCTTAGGGTTTAGGGTTTAGGGTTTAAGGTTTAGGCTTAAAGCTTAGGGCTTTCATGGCTTGAGGGGCGTATATAGGGGCTTAGGGTTTCGTGTTGATTGCTAAAGTTTCGTGCGGGATGGACGGCGCAGTCTTCAGTCGTCCTGGCGCTTTAGGGTTTCCCAGCTTACTGCCAGAAGCCGGATGGAAATGTAGGGGCCTCAGCAATTGCCAATACTTTCTTGGGGGGTTCCTTATTATAATTATAGAATAATGGGCCCCAACACCCTATTCTAACTATTAAGGCCCCTACATTAGACTTCCACTCATACCTCAGGCAAGCGAGCAAGCGAACCTTTTCAAAAGCAACCGCTGCCCGACTCTGCAATGAAGGCGGCGCGGGGCTCATCACCCCAGTTTAGATAGAAGCTGAGTTACTTAGGGTTCAGGGTTTAGGGAAGCATGCATCCTAAACAAGATGGCAGCTATATTGACTATGCAGATAACTGCCCTCCTAGGATTTGTTCCCAGTGATGAGGACAACCTGCGTGGCGTCTGCAGACTGAGCGCAGATCTCTTTGATCCGCCAACTCTGTACGCCAAGTAAGCACAATATCCGACTGCATGACGAAGCGGGCTCCGAGGCTTTTCAGTAGATAGTCGTTGTAGGTGCTTCTTCTTCCCTGAATCCCATACGACCAGTAGCTTTTGTAGGTTTAAAATTTAGAGTTACACTAAATCTCTTATGACCAGAGACCTGAAATTTCAGCATTTTCCGCATTTTGGCGACCCTCAGAGGCCCAGCAAGCTTAAAAGCGGAGATCTCACAAACAGCACTTCCTGGCTTGGGCCGTGCTGCAAGTTTAAGAGCGTGGATCTACAAAACCCTAAGCCCCTATACCCTACACCCTAAGCCTCCAAACCCTAAACCCTAAACTCTCTGCACCAGCTGCTGCTGCGCAGAGCTGGCCAAAAGTTCGAAGTCACAGCGTCGCAAGAGGCGGATGTACAAGCCGACCTTTGGGGAATTGGGACTTAGGGTTTAGCGTTTCAAGGTTTAGGGTTTAGGATTTAGGGTCTAGCGCCCAAGTGATCATCGTGTAGGAATCGTGGGTTTGCGTTGCCCTTCTGTTGCATTGTTGCGAGCGATGAACATCATTTCTAGTTCCCTCTTGACTACTGTACTAATTGCACGTCGTCGTATTATCAAGACTCGAGACCATTACGTGAACGTCTGGTTGCCATCATTGGCACCGGCTTCATTCGTTTTCAAGACAACTTTCTGTTTAACCGCCTTGTTGTCCCAGCCCCAGACCCCATGAGGTCGTTCCGGCAGTGCCCCAAGCCACCGACATCCAAAGGCCGAACCCGAAAACCTCAACAGCCCAAACACCTAAACACCTCAACGCCTAAACCCTAAATCCTAGACCCTAAACCCTTAAACCCGGTAACTTAAACCCTAAACCCTAAAACCCTAAACCCTAAACCCTAAACCCTTAAACCCTAAACCCCAAACCCCAAACCCTAAAAACCCTAAACACCTAAACCCTAAACATCTGAACCCCAAAATGAAGAGACCTGCGTCGAAGTTGCCGTGACAAGCATCCCGAGGACGCCTGCAATCCAAATCCCAGAGACCTCGGATCGAAGATCCGGGCTCGGGGTGCTGAGGGCCGGCTCGGGTTTTAGGGTTTTGGGGTTTGGGGTTTAGGGGTTTGGGGGTTTAGGGCTTAGGGTTTAGAGTTTGGGGTTTAGGGGTTTGGGGTTTAGGGTTTAGGGGTTTGGGGTTTAGGGGTTTGGGGGTTTGGGGCTTAGGGTTTAGAGTTTGGGGGTTTAGGGGTTTAGGGGTTTAGGGTTTAGGGTGTAGAGGCGAAAGAACCTGGGGGACAGGGGAGGAGGGGATACCGCGGGCTTAAGTACAGGGTTTCACGGTGTAGGGAAGGTGTGGGAGTATATGGGATTCAGCGTGAGGGGTATAGGGTTTAGCGTGCAGCTCCATGGTTTGGGGGTGAGAGGTTTCGAGTTTAGGAATTTCGGTTGAGGTTTGCTTCTCAAGGGCTCTGGGTGAAGTTTCGGGAAAGTATGAATACGTTGCACGTGTGCTACCGTCAAATCAGCTGTGCTGAAGCTCCGGAGATTGTACAGGATGGCACGGGCTTCCTAGCTCCATCAGCACCGGACGAGCACATAACCAAAATGAACAAAAGCATATGGGAGTGAATTGAGAATTTCTCGTGCTTCAGCAACAACCACACTTCCAGCGAAGCGCCGTAATGATTAGAATTGAAGGCTTTCCTGGATTCTGTTGAAGGGCTTTAGGGTTCCATCATAATGTAGGGCCCTGATCAAGCTCGCGATCGTGCTTGATTCGATGCCTCCACAACCACGCGAGGTCCCGAGAAGCTACATCAAGCCTCACAAGTCCATAACTACATGCTGAATGTCCTGACGAGCAGCGCCCACATGCAGTGCTATGGCAAGCACCTTGCTCCCACAAGGGAAGTTGTGTCAAGCTTTCTGAGCTTCTGATTGAAGGCTTCGCTGCTTAAACCACAAGGCAACCTTTATAGTAACCGTCTCCCTCAACCCTAAAACCTCACCCCCGCAAGTAGAAACCCATGGAGGTACCCAGACCCAGATGTTGCCATCGGCCTATCATAACCTGGACTCCTGAGACCTGATACTTATATTGCTGTTGCTATGCATATTAATATTTTACATTAACAGTACACAAATAATACATTTGTGGTTATACTATGCTGTAGTACACTACGGTATATTAACCTCAGGCTCTTTAGGGTACATACGGCTGGCTGAGGGTCTTCATCTATCCCTGAGCCGGAAGCGCAGCAAGGCACGTATGCACCGCCCAGTCGCACCACCACCATGGAGATCAGTTTTACCTGAGACGATGTGCGCCTTTGGGGTTTGGGCTGAGGGGCTGAATACCCTGGCCCGAAAAAGGCTAACCACACAGCTACGGTAGGACTTGAACTCCAAAGAGAATGGGGTTCCAGTTTTGACCACCAAGGATGGAGATCAGGGCTGAATCCGGGGGGGCCCTGGTAGTTACAGTAGGGTTTTGGGAAATACATTCTACAAGAAGTCCAACATGTGCTAAAAAAGGGATAACATTATGTACTAATGATTCAGACACTGACAAAGGAGCAGCTTCATCAGAACAGGAGAAGCCTGTATACAAGGAAGGATATACTGCACAAAACTGCCAATGATTCAGACCCCTAGAGTAGAAGCCAGAAAGTTGGAACATGATTTATCCTCATGCCCTTAGGGTAAAGTATAAGGGATCCTAGCACTAATCCTCCTAAACCCATGTTCCAACCTTCTGGGATTCGCTGGAGACTATATAGGCAGGAGTGTGGAAGCTTGTGTGCCAAGGCGCCTGAGAAGCCCCGCGCTGGAGCCCCAGTCCTGCTGCAACATCGTTTGGGTTCAGGGTGTAGGGTCTAAGGTTCAGGGTGACACAAGTAGCATTCCGGGCCTTGAGATTTAGAATTCGGTGTTGAATTCAGTCATGACAACGATACCATATCCGTAATAAGATGCACCTCACAAATCGGCTTACACCTTCGCTAACAGCCCTGATAAAAGTCGTAGAAACCCTCAGCGAGCCGTTATAATTAGGACCCCCGGTAGCAAAGGAATAAACAATGCCACTTTTTGTGTACCGGGTGGTCTTATGAGGAGCTCGGAGACCTAGATAACACCCTTAATGGAACCTTAAACCTTAAACCCTAAATTCTTAAACCCTAAACCCTAAGCCCCTGAATCCCTGAAACCCTAAACCCTGAACCCTAAACCCTAAACCCTGAACCCCTAAATCCTGAACCCCTAAACCCTAAGCCCTAAACCCTGCACCCCTGAACCCCTTAACCACCCTTAGGGGGACCCTAAAACTTAAATCCCTTAACCCTAAACCCTGAACCCCTCAACCCTAAACCCTGAACCCCTCAACCCCGAACCCCTAAACACCCTTACTGTAAGGGACCCGGATCCCAGCCTATGAGGCCACCCTCGAGGACGGTTTGGATGCCGTCGAAGAGCTGGAAAACAACTGCCGGCGAGCAGAGGCGCAGACTTGGGACTACAGTCAACCCCAAAAAATTGGAAATCTAGCAATAATCTACTTCAGTGGAAAATAAATGGTCAGGCCCGGTAAGACCCATCTCATTATAGTAAACCCCAAAAAATTGGAAACCGGATGAAGGACAAAGAGTGCTGGGATCCCCTATACATTATTCTTACTTGATTGAGGCTATTGGGTTTCCAACTTTTGGGCTTCTACTGTACTATAAGGACCTTAACGACTAAAGAAGGTTTTGGGCTCCTTTGTCGTATATTTCGAACAAGGAACCCTAAACAGGAATATTATAGTAAAAGGACCTTAATAATTAAAGTAGGGTTTTGGGCTCCTGCATCTTATAATTTCCAATGAGGAACCGTGACAGTATAGTGGGTACTTGCATATTTAGGACCCTATATTACTTGTACCACCTATACCAGGGGCCTACATAATTCAAAACACACTCCCCCCTTATAGTCCCGAATATACGTCTCGAATAATGACCCCCGAACCACACTCCAATTATTAAGGCCTCTGTATTACAGACACAAGCTGTGCAGAAAGGGGAGAAACTCGGAAACGGTCTTGGGGTGTATCTACCACTGTTTATTATACAGAAACTGTAAAGGGATAGGATTTTGACTACTTGTTCAGGTTTCCACATGAAGTCCACAGGAGCACCTAGGATGATGATGAGGACGTTCATTGTCGCCAACACCTGAAGGGCGAGGTTCAGGGCTTAGGGCTAAGACCAATCTTAGGGTTTAGATAGGGTTTCGGGCTTAGCGTTGAGATCATTCTTAGGGTTAGAAAGGGTTTAGCGCTTAGGGTTTAGGGTTTAAAGTTCGGGGTTTGGGATGGTTTTCTTACGGAACTTGGGGTAATCATGTTCCCGATGTGGGGCAGCATTTTCAGGCCTGAGCCCCTGTGGCCTGGCCCCTAAAGCCCTACCTGGACCCCAAAGAACCCGCCTTTTAGGACCCCTCATGCTGATTCCGTATAATATATATATATATATATATACATACAATATAATATATATATATATATATATAATATGTATATATAATATGTACATAATATATATATATATATATATGTGTCTTTAAAAAAAGGTAGGTCATGGGGGGGTTCAGGTTAACCCCATATCGAATACCTTTTGTGCATCTCTGGTCCATGCACACTAAGCCACCGCTGTTCAAGGAACCTTGTGCGGGATCGCTTTTGCCAGATCCGCTTCAAGGTTCAGGGTTGGGAAATTGAAGCAACCTGAGAGCAACCAAAACTTGCAACACTGCCAAGCATAGATGGGAACAGAAAGCTCGAGAAGACCTGCAGGAACACTGTGGACAATCTCTTCCATGGCCACTGCAGCACTGCAGCCAAACTGTTGATGCGAACCATAGCATGATCGTCGATAATTCACAGCTAATGACAACAAAACCAAAACAAGTTTAGACTCATGACAAGCATGATAAAAAAAAAGCAGAATAATACTGACCTAAGTTAAACCCTAGTTAAGCACAATCCCTAGGCGCCCTAAACATTACAGGAATCCTTAATTGCAGGCCCTCAGTGTGATCTTAAACATCCCGAAGCTGCCTGAAACAAAAAACAACAACTCATGGTACTTTGGTGTTCCTTTACAAGGGTTACTATTCGGCTACGTACTTTAGGGTTCCTGCAAACTACGGGTTACTATAAGACTGCAGAGGGTGTTCATAGTACAAATGTCCTCAAAAAGTTAAACCCTAAACCCCAAACCCTCTAAACCCTTAACCCCCAAATCTTAAACACTCTAAAACTTACAGGGCCTGGAGGGTCCACTACTCTTAAAAACCTTCGGCTAAACCCAAAACCCCCAAACACTATCAACCTCAAAGGTCCACAATGTAGGGGCCTTAATAATTAGAATAGGGTTTTGGGGGTTCCTTATTGTACTTATAGTATAACATCTTCTTCTAAGTATTAAGGCCCCTATATCTTAAATCTCAAAGGTCCCTATAAGAGGATTTAGGGTTTCGGGTAACCCTCAAAGGTCCCCATGGAACTCTACAGCCCTAAACCTCGAAGGTCCCTAAACCCTAAACCCTAAAACCCTAAACCCTAAACCCTAAACCCTAAACCTTAGAAACCCTGAACCCTAAAACCTCTAAACCCTAAAACCTCTAAACCCTAAAGCCTCTAAACCCTAAAACCTCTAAACCTCTACACCCTAAACCCTAAACCCTGGGTCCTCCTCATCCGAACTGAAGAGCCGCCCCGCCAGCCCGCGGGCCAGGAAAAGCAGCAGCCCCAAGACGGAGCAACTCCTCCGGGATGCTTCGAGTTAGAGTTTAGGGCTTTTAGGGGCTTATAAGGTTTAGGGTTTAGGGTTTAGGGTTTAGGGTTTAGGGTTTAGGGTTTAAGGTTTTATAGGGCTAATAGGATTTATAGGGCCAGTTGGAGTGTTCTAGGGTTCCTTTAAAGGGATCTATAAGGGGTATCTATAGGGATGCTTCGAGTAAAGAGGGTAGGGTTTAGGGTTTATAAGGCTTCAGGGTTTTAGCGTTTGGGGTTCAAGGGTTTAAGGTTTAGGGTTTAGGGTTTAAGGTTTAAGAGTTTAGGGTTTCGGGTTCAAGCTTTGGGGGGTTGAGGGTTCAGAATAGAAGGTTTAGCATGGCTTCGGGCTTAGATTTCATATGTGTGACTGCCGCTTAGAGTTTAGAATAACGCGTTTTAATTGAGCTCAGGTTTAGCACGGGTTACTATCGTTCTCCGAAATGCTATGCAAACCATCCCAAACCCACAGCCGTAAAGCTTATGTAAGCCTAAACCGTAAGGCCAACAGCTGAGCGCTAAGCCAACGGCTCTTAAACCCGACTATTACCATACACCCCTGAACCCCTAAAACTCTAAACCCCTAGAGCCCTAAACACTAAAAACCCGAACCCCCTAAACCCTCTAAACCCTATAAACCCCTAAAGCCCTAAACCCTAAACCATCCCCCTAAACCCTATAAACCCCTAAAGCCCTAAACCCTAAACCCTAAACCCTAAACCCCTATAAACCCCTATAAACCCTAAACTCTAAACCCTAAACCCTGGAAAAACCCTAAGCCCTAAACGCCTTTAAACCCTAAACTCTAAACCCTAAACCCTATAAACCCTCTAAACCCTATAAACCCTATAAACCCCTAAACCCTAAACCCAAAGGCTGCGGAAGGAGAGGCGTCCCGAGGATCAGAGCTGCCCCGGCTTTCAAACTGCTGCGGGCCCAAGCACTTTGGCCTCCAGCGCTTTGAGGGTTGAGGGTTTAGGGCTTAAGGGTTTAGGGCTTTGGAGTTTTGGGGGTTTAGGGCTTAGGGTTCAGGGTTTAGGGCTTTAGGGGTTTAGGGTTTAGAGTTTCGGTAGCTTCCGACATCGCTGGATTTCTTGTTCCTGAAGGCTCCACGGACTCATATTGTCTACGGACTTGTTATACCTATATATATATATGTATGTACATATATGTATATATACGTATATACATATATGTATATATACAGACTGCTTTACTTATGTTTGTTGTTTAACAGCCGCCTCCGCCGATGGCGTGACCCACGGCGGCCGAGGTGGCGGACCCCAGGCCCGCGGGGACCATGAAGATCTGCAGAGCTTAAGGGTTTTAGGGTTTTAGAGTCTTAGGGCTTTAGAGTTTGGAGTTTTAGGTTTTAGGGTTTTAAGTTAAGGCTTTAGGAGTTTAGGGTTTTAGGGTTTAGGGCTTTAGGGCTTTAGAGGTTTAGTGTTTTAGGGTTTAGGGTTTTAGGGCTTTAGGGTATAGGGATTTTAGGTTTAGGGTTTAGGGTTTGTAGGGTTTAGAATTTTAGGGTTTAGGGGTTTAGGGTTTTAGTGTTTAGGGCTTGAGTGTTTAGGGTTGAGGGTCTTAGGCTTTTAGGGTTTAGGGTTTAGGGGTTTAGAGTTTAATTAGGGGTCAGGGCCAATGCGGATCTCACGTTCTGATCCGGGGCTAATACTGGCTGCTTTACTCGGGCGAATCCTCGGACATGGTATAATCTTAGCTATCTTGCTCGGACGACCTATTTGAAAGTATGTTAACTTGTAGACGAATGTATAGGACACATTGTAAAATTCGGAAATGGGGCAACGACAAAAAACAGACATTAAACTCAAGAGCCACCAAGAGCAGCAAGCGTGATTTGGCACTGTGTTTCTCCAGGCTTCGTATGTGGGGTAGTCAGAGCTCAGGGACAAGGATATCGGTAGTCCTCAAAAGCGTCCCTTTCTATGTCCCCCAAGTAGTACGGCACCCTTGTAAGAAGGACCTCCACCCTAAACCCTAAACCCTAAACCCTAAACCCTAAACCCTAAACCTTAAACCCTCAGAGAACTACTCATATAGGGGCCGGAGTTCGAGGGAATTGAAAGCAGGGATTGGCTGGGTCTTGTGGAGCTTACCCTAAGGGTCCGAAGGACCCAAGGGTTTAGGGTTTAGGGTTTAGGGTTTAGGGTTTAGGGTTTAGGGTTTAGGATAATTAGGTACTTTCACTACGGATAGCAGTTATCTAGGTTCATACTTGGGAGAGTATATGACGATTAGGTACTTGGACATTTAGGGTTAAGGTACGGTTGAAGAACCGGGTTTGATGGCCCAAGACCTATGAAGTCTGTCATTTTCCATACTTTTGGGGGGTTTGAGGCTTAAGGCGTTGGCGTTAGGCTTCGGGTTTGGGCATCAACGCTTCGCGGCTGATGGTCAGGGGTGTATGTGGATCTGCACTCTCTGCTGTCTGATTTTGGATACTGCACTACGAGACGGTTTAGGGTTTTAGGGTATCGGGTTTGGGGCTTTAGAGTTTTGGGGTGTGGGTTTTAGGGATTAGGGTTTAGGGTCCCAGTTGTAATGATCCGTGAGCGTTCAGGGTTCCTGGTTGAGGGCCTGGTGCTTCAAGGCTTCGTTTCGTGCTGAGTGCTGGACACACTCATGCCGCGATTAAAAAGAAGGACTTCAAGGAAGCACCTTGAAGGAAATGGTGTAATTATATAATTATATAGGTGTCATATCCGAGCTTCCCATTCCAAAACCCCAAACTTACAACCGAAAGTCATTCATGCGGGAGACTGCGACAAGATGAAAGACAAGGACGCAAATGGATGCCATGTAGACCGCGGGGAGTAGTTAGCATCAATTTGGCTAAAGGTCTTTGGCTTCATTCTGATGATGAACCCTTGCTGCTTCACCCCATGGATGCAGGTGTGGGGGTCTTCGGTGGCTTCTCAAGCACGTGTGCCGTGCAGAACTATAGACGTTCTAGTGGAGGAAAAGGGGTTCGCGCACGGTAAGAACCCTAAAGTCAACCCGTGTTCACCACCCCACAAAGCAACGGCAAACCACGATTCAAGCCCCAGAGTCTGGCTTAGAGAGCAAGTTCAGATTTGGGATTCTGTGCGCACGCTGAATGTTAATGCCTTTGTGCGACCAGTGGTATCAGACTCTACCAAGCCCTAAACCCGAAACCCTGAATCCAAAACCCCAAACCCTAAAGCCCTTAAGCCCTAAAAGCCTCAAGCCCGAAACGGTTTAGCTTGATGTATGGGGCCTTAATAATTAGAATAGGGTTTTGGAGTTTTGGGGTACGTTATACCATAACTATAGTAAGGAAACCCCCTAAAATAGTATAGGGACCCCTAAGACGGCCAAAGGCGCAATGAGCAGCCAGCTGCAGGTCGCCGTGTGCGCAGCCAGGGCAGTCTTTCCGCAAAGTCCTGTCAGGGGCTTTGGGTTGAGGGTTTAGGGCAGCTTAGAGCTTAGTCTTGCGAGCTTAGGGGTTCCGTGGGGTGTGGTGTTCTAAACCTTGTAAAACCGAAACCTTGTAAACGGGAGTTTGGTTTACGCTGGGGATTTTTCGCTTTGGTCGCTTGAAGCTTCTTGTAGGGAGCTGTACAAGGCCCGGCCTTAGCCGTTTAGAGTCAGGAGTTTAGGGTTTAGGGCTTAGGGTCTACGGTTGAGGGTCGGGAGTTTAGGGTTTAGGGTTTACGGGTTCAACAGGGTTTAGAGCTTTGCAGGGTCTGTCTTTGCAGGGCTGGGCTTAAGGCTTCGAGGTTTACGGACTTGTGTGGAGCTCAGGGGTTCTAAAGGAACCAAGATGTCTCGGTTACTGAGTGACCCCCATGTAACAAGGGTGTTCCTTTTTCCTGGAGTATATTCAGTTTTAACCATATATTCCAGGAACCTAGATGTAGCAATGAAGCATTGAAGGTTACAGGTTGAGAAGGGCCTGTCGCCTGTCGCCCTCACCGGAGCATTCTAGCTGAATGCCAGCGGCCCTCAGCTTCAGGGTACTGAAGCTTCAGCAGCCGCTGCCACTTTCTGAGTCTATCTCCGGCTCAGGGGGGGCCATGCTTCGGCTTTCTGACTTCTGAGGCCCAGAGTGTAGCTTTTTGCACTTTTGGGTTTGTGCTGCAACTATAGTCTCGTACTCCGCACTTTTGGGTTTAGGATTCCCGGCATGTAGGGATTCTGGCCTGCCAGGAGGCTCATGGCCTCGTAGACCCACCACCTGCCATGCAGTCCAGGGCTTAGTTACTAAGGTTGAACCCATGGGCCCCTAACATGGGCCCGTAACATGGGGATTCTAGGGTCCCTTAGGGGTGTATATATAGGGAATATAGTAGGTACATTAAGGTCCCAGGGTTAAGGGCCCATACTACGGGCCCATGGGTTCTACCTTAGATAGTTGCAACAGGGCAGCGACCTACATGAGTGGACCCGGATTTCGGGGGAGAACCTACACTATGAATGCATGCACCTCCGCAATGCCGTCTGTGACCCAACATCAGTATGGACAATATACCCGAGCAATGTAAGCTGGTCCTTTAAGGATCCTCTTCCAAGCAGCAAGCACAAGTAAGTACTCCAGGTTCATGACAGAATGTAACGTCCTACCTATAGTAGTCTTTATTGCAAGTCCTTTAGGGGGCTACCTTTTAGGACCCTAAATATAGAATTGGTTAACCGAAGAAAGGAACTAAAATGGAGACTATAGGCTATAGGTACGACTTCCTATTAATTACATATTTAGGCGTTAAAGTACCTCTATAGGAACCCCTTTAAATTTAAGCCCTAGTATGTACTCTATGGGTACATGGAGCCCACCCATACCGCGCAAATGGAAGTGCAAGGGAGGACAACACTCCCGACATGCCAGGCGTAATTGCAATAGCTTTGGGGGTTCCTTGAGGGGTTCTTTAAAGGGTTCTTTAAAGGATCTATAATAGGCAGGGTGTTTATGGGTTCCTTTACGGGCCCCAAAAGCGATCTATAGTAGGGTTCTATGATATAGGGGCCTTCATAATTAGACTAGGAATTGGGGATTTAGGGGCGCATTATGCTGTATTGATATAAGGAACCCGGAAATAGTATTGGTCATTATTAGATTAAGGCCCCTCTATTACCCAAAATGCCTCAAGACAGCAGCAACTACGCACGACAACGAGGCCCTAAATCCCAAATGCCCAAGGCCACTAGCCCAATGCGTCTTACTGCCGAGCTGCTCCGTCCACATCAGTATCGCTGAAGGCAAGGCCACTCGGAGGTACTCCCGGAAACCAGGTTCGGCCTTCATAGGGATGTTGCGATATAATATGGTATAAACAATATGATATGAATCGGATAGTATAGCATAATCTGATGTAGTATAACAAGCATAATGTAAAATACAATATGTATACTGGCGCCTAATTATCTGAACCCGGGATTAGCTCTATAGATCGCAAGCCTGCGCATTTGGATGAGTACTGCCCACACATGTGAGATGCAACACCCAATATCACGGCGAGACTGTCGTCCGCATTCCCTATTTAGATAGTCGCAGGACTCCGCAACTAAGGTGACAAGGTAAGTATAGTAGATGAAACTGCTTATGACCCCGACTATGGTACTTATATCCTTACTTACGAAGTCCCTCGAACCTCAAAGTACTCCGCAGGGGACCCACAGCTCATGAACGGTGAGTGGAACGGTGTACTAAGTCCATCTGGGGATATCAAGGAGCCGTAGTAGCGAGGCTGAGGCTCCGATATGGGGACGTTTCAGATACATTTGGGGTTCCTTTGCCGCTGTCTGTAATGCTGCGGGTTTTGGGAAAGAGTCTAATCCCTCAGTTACGGCCCCTTCTGTTCTTCGGAAATCCCCACATTGAGGCTGCACCCAGGCAAGCAAACCATGAGATGGCAGTGGAACCGGGCTGTTGCGAGCTCTTCCTCCCTTGCCTTCTCGTGCGAAACCCTAAATCCTAAACCCTAAACCCTATTTAAGCCCTAAGCCCTAAGCTCTATGGCGAAACCCTAAATCCTAAACCCTAAATCCGCTATTTAAGCCCTAAGCCCTAAGCTCTATGAAACGCTAAACCCTAAACCCTAATCCTAAACCCTCGCCCTAAGCCCTAAGCCCTACGAAACGCTACTGTCTTGCACTAGGCTACGAGGCCATGGGATCTCTTGCACCAGATCTTCGGCCTCCGTAGATTACGCTAAGCCTCAGCAAGAAACTCCCACCAAACCTAAACCCTACACCCTAAAACCCGAACCCCCTAGCTCCCTGAAGCCCTAAAGCCCTAAACCCAAAAATTTTCAAGTTTTAAAACCCGAACCCCCTAAATCCCTGAAGCCCTAAACCCCAAAATATTCAATTTTTAGACCCCGAATCCCCCAGACCCCTCAAGCCTTTAAACCCTAGAAACCCGAACCCCCTAAACCCGTAAAGCCCTACATAACCCTAAACTCCGAACCCCGTAAACCCCTATGTAACCCTTAACCCTGAACCTCCTAAACCCCTAAACCCTAAAGGCCCTGAAGCGGACCCGAAGCCGAGGCCTCTATCGCTCTGGCATCGGCGTTGAAGCGCTTCAGGCCTTGTCTCTGTGAAGCACGGGGGAATGGTCGCGAGGCTGCCATAATGTAGGGTTCTAGGGTTTAGGGTATAGTGTAGGCGTTGTAGGGTCTAGGGTTTAGGGTATAGTGTAGGGGGTTGAGGGATTAGGGGCAAGGCTGCTATCATGTAGGAGTTAGAGTTGAGGGTTTAGGGTATACTGTAGGGGCCTGAGTAACTGGAAATAGGGTGTTTAAGGCTCCTTTTACTAAAGGGGTTCCTTTCAGGGCTTCTTTGAGGGTTCTATAAACCCTCAACCCTAAACTGTAAACCCTAAACCTTGAGCCCTAAACCCTAACCCCAAAACCCGAAGCCCTAAACACTAAACCCTAAACCCTAAGCCCTAAACAGCCCAAGAGCAGCTGCATAGCCGACGGCGTGCCAGATCCAGGGGCAGAGGCGTCCAGGCCACGTCGCAGGGGGACGGCCTTCTTTGGAGTTATAGGTTTAGGGTTTAGGAGTTTTGGGTTTAGGGGTTTAGGGTTTTAGGGTTTCAGGGTTTAGGAGTTTTGGGATTAGGGGTTTAGGGGTTTAGGGTTTTAGGGCTTAGGAGTTTTGGGTTTAGGGTTTAGGGGTTGAGGGTTTTAGGGTTCAGAGTTTAGGGAGTTTTGGGTTCAGAGTGGGTTATTGTAGGTTCAGGGTTCAGGGCTTAGGGGTCATGGCTTGGGGCTTTGGGGTTTTAAGATTTTCGATTTAAGGGTTTGGGGTTTAGGGAATGTTCAGAGGCTATTCACCAACAAATAACATCTTGTTCAGTCAGCAAGTCTTCGAAAGCCCTAAGCCCTGCAACACTAAACTCAAGACTTGCCAGGCTGGGCACACTGAAGCCTGAAGCCTTGGACAGCCTCGATGCGAAGATTGCAGAAACTCCTCCTAAACCCTAAACCCTAAACCCGAACCCCAAAACCCTAAACCCTAAACCCAGCCTAAACCCCAAAACCCTAAACCCTGAACCCTGAACCCTAAACCCTAAACCCTGTTCCCAAATCCCTTGGACCTCAGATCCTGGCGTCCGAAACCCAACACGCATTATCCCTAAAGGACCCAAGTCGGGCCTTACCACTGCAATATAGGGTTTAGGGTTTAGGGTTTAGGGTTTAGGGCCTTACCACTGCAACGTAGGCCATCAAGAGTGCGAAGTACAAGCCGTAGCTGATGGAGACCTGATGACAGGCTCTCTTTCGAGGAAAGCCGGGTTTGAGAAACTTTCGAGTCTAATGTAGAAGCCTTAATGATCAGAAGTAGGGTTGTGGGGGCCCATTTTACTATAAGTATACTTATAATGGGGACCCCTAAGGAAAAATATAGGTAATTATTATTTAGGCTTCCATATGAAACCCAAAACCCCTAAACCCCAAAACCCTAAACCCCCCCCAAACCCTAATACCCAGGGTCAGGGTCTAGGGTTCATGGTGTGGCTTTCGAAGGCCTCGGGTCCTGATTTCCCTTTAGCGCCGCGAGCACGGCTACAGTTGCGAGATGAAGCCATCTGTCTAATGTAGGGGCCGTAATAATTAGAATAGAGTTTGGGAAGTATTGTACTATGGTTATATACAGAAACCCCCAAAATAGTATTGGTAATTCTTTAGGTTCCCATATTACGGTCTTGTTACTGTGCTTGTCGTCGCAAGAAAGCGCTGCTACTATAAGATTATCAGGGCCTCTACCCACTACCGTTGGATGCCGCTGACAACTCCTTAAGCATCTCTATACGCCCTAACCTTGACGAAGCGTTTAATATAGGGGCCTTAAAGCTTAGAATAGGGCTTTGGGGTATATTGTACTATAACTATGTCAAGGAACCCCAAAAATAGTATAGGTAGTTATTCAGGCTCCTATATTATGCTCCAATCTTGACGAAGCGTTTAAACGTCGGGCGTTGGCTTTCGGATTTTTGGGGCCGTCGCAATACGTACGCCTTCTACTGATGATCTCACGGCTACAGCTTCCTGCCTCATGAATACCTGAAAGTTTTGGGACTCAGGGAACTTGTCGATTCTATAGCCGCCCTAAACCCCTAAATCCTAAACCCTGAACCCTAAAATCCCTAAACCCTCAAATCCCTGAAACTCTAAATCCTAACACCCCTAAAACCCTAAACCCTAAAGCCCTAAAACTCTGAATCCCAAAACCGCTAGAACCCTAAACCCTAAAGCCCCAAAACTCTGAATCCTAAAACTGCTAACACCCTAAAACTCTGAATCCTAAAACCGCTAGAACCCGAAGCCCTAGGCCCTAAGCCCGAAGCCCTGTCTTTGTTGCATGCCCGAGGAGCCGTGAGGCCGGCGCCAAAGGCACCCGCACCCAAGCGGTGAAGCAGAAGGTAGCACCAAATCCTGGGCTTCTAGGGTTTGGGTTAGGGTTTAGGGTTTATAGGGTTTAGGGAAGGCAGCACCAAATCCTGGGCTTATAGTATTGGGCTTTATCGGGCTTGTAGGGTTTAGGGTTTATAGTTTACAGGGTTTACAAGGTCTATAGAGTTTCGGGTTTATAGGGTTTGGGGCTTATAGAGTTTAAGGTTTATGGTGTTTAGGGTGCAGAAGGTAGCACCAAATCCTGGGCTTATAGGGATAAAGTAAGGTTTAGGGTTGGGCTTATAGGGTTTAGGGTTTCTAGTTCATATAGAGTTTAAATGATTTATAGGGATTAAGTAAAGTTTAGGGCGTGTAGGGTTTAGGGCTTTATAGGGTTTAGGGTGTCTAGTTCATATAGAGTTTTATATGGTTTAAAGGGTTTGGGGCTTATAGGGATTAGGGTTTAGGGCTTGCAGGGTTTAGGGCTTATAGGGCTTAGGGCTTATAGTTTACAGGGTCTACAAGGTCTATAGAGTTTCGGGTTTATAGGGTTTGGGGCCTATAGAGTTTAAGGTTTATGGTGTTTAGGGTGCAGAAGGTATCACCAAATCCTGCGGCTCCTTGAGCCTTTTTGGGCACAGTTTTAGGCTTTATGCTCGGCTTTGAGGGCTAGCTGAAGTATTCTGCACGCAAATCCCCACCAACTGCCCCACAGTGCCCTAAACCTGACTGCCCTGAAGCATAGAGCACCCGAAAACTCCAAAGATCTGGCGATGGCTGCCGTTTGGTCTAACCCTTTCAACCCGGCCCAAAGACAAGAGATTCCCTCCGCAGTGTTCCCTAAGGAATGTTACGGATAACTATTCATAGTAGTATTAGTACTGCTGTCACTACGCCCAGTTTATTAGTATTAATACTATTGTGTTATGTTTACTATTACTATTACTACTATATGTCTTATTGATATTTGTCGCGATGGGACAATAGTCCTGTAGCTCCAGGTTTCGGGCTGTGTGGCTCCAGCCGTGGGCTCGGAGAACCCACAGAACAAGATGATGTTCAGGGTCGAGGCTTTTGGAGTTTAAGGATTATAGGGTGTATGCGGATTAGGATTGGGGGCGTTCAGGGTTTTTACCATCTGGGGTTTAGGGTGATAAGGACCAAAACAAGTAGACTCGGGATATGACAGTGATTATTTTGTGGAATTTGCACGTGTTGGGCACTTCATATGATATGCTTTCAGTGCGCTCTTGCAACATATGCATACATATAGTACTGATCAGTCAAGCCTCCATTTGAAACCCAAGCTCGGTGGTGGACACAGTGAATCTGCATTTTCCGAAGCTCGTGCAGAGTGTCGTGTTTCGTGGTTCTAAACCCTAGAAACCCTACAAACCCTAAATTCTAAAACCTATACACCCTAAACCCTAAACCCTAAAGCCTATAAACCCAAATCCCTGAAGCCTATGAACCCTAAACCCTAAAGCCTATGAACCCTAAATCCTAAACCTCTGGTTCAGGGAAGTTGAGACCCACCAGGCACAGAAACGGCCTTGCGCTGCCGAAGCTGAATGTCTGTTGGACCAGCTCAGAGGGTTTAGGGTTTAGGGGTTTAGGGTGTAGGGGAGTTTAGAGATTTGGCGTGTGCATGCGCGTAGGACCATCGCTGGCTGGTTGCTGCCTACGGCTTTGTTGCGAGACCTTTAGATCTATCTCCAAGACTCCAGTGCCAGTTTCCGACCCCCATAACTCACAAATCGGAAATTTATAGCAAAATGTAGCTGAGAGACGGATGGAGCAGCGAGACCACGAGGCTGACGTAGGTGGGTGGGCGAGGGAGCCTGCGTGGCTACACGGGGCCGTTCGGTAGACTGTCTCATCCCGAAACCCTTAACCCTAAACCCTAATCCCTAAATCCTTAACCTTACAACCCCTAATCCGTGAACTCTATAATCCCTAAACCCTACCCCCTAAACCCCAAACTAGCTGACTTGAAAGAAGCCCGGATCCCAAAATTCTCTCCAAGACATCCTCGAAGCTTAAGCTTAGTGCGTAGTATCAGGGCTCCTAACGGTAGGCATTTGGGGCTAAAGGGTCTACGAACACGGGTTGAGCGATGCGAGGCTACAGCGGACAGGCCCCCAGAACTGAAACACAAGCTCTTTCCCTCATGAAGGAGCCTAGCTTGTAGTTTTGCAAAAAACCCTATTATCCAAAACAGCCTACTAGGGTTTAGGGTTTATATCCGAAAAACCTACCAGAAGCGCATGGAATGGAAGCTGTTACGGGTAGGAACCTCGGACTTAACTGTCTGGTGCTTAGTGGGGAATGGGGGAATGGATCCCTATGATAGTCCCTTAAAGTCCCTTATAGTAGTCCCTATAATCCATTCCCCCATTCCCTAAACCCTAAACCCTAAACCCTAAACCCTAAACCCTAAACCCTATACCCTAAACCCTAAACCCTATAATCCATTCCCCCATTCCCTACTAAGCACCAGACAGTTCTGGGGGGGCCGGGCAGCTTCAGTGCTCGGAGGAAGAGGCGCGTGGCACAGGAGAGGAAGTGGAAGGGCATCACGAAGATGGTGCCACGCACCTTGGGTTTAGGGTTTAGGGTTTAGGGTTTAGGCACGGTTTAGGGTTTAGGGCTCACCTTGGCTCTTGAGGTTCATGAGCTTGACTGTATGATTCTAAGCTCCTGCTTGGACTCTCATATCCCTAAACCCTAAACCCTAAACCCTAAATCCTAAACCCTAAACCCTAAACCCTGTTTCTTGACTCGGATTTCACACTTAGAGCCTCGCCTGCAAGCTTAACTTAAGAAGACCAAAGCATACTGAGATGGGTCTTACCGGGTTTATGGGTCTTACCGGGTTTAGGGTTTAGGGTTTAGGGTTTTAGGGTCTTACCGGGCGTGGCCCTTTATTTTTCACTGAAGTAGATTGTTGCTAGAATAGTTCACGCGCAGCTTCTATGCAGCTGATGATGAGCATGTCGATCCTCGGTGAATAACACCTCCGTCTTTCAGGACCTTTGCATTCGGATCCGTCACTTAATCCTATATAAGTTTGCCCACACCCTAATCTCATGAGACGGTTTACAAATGAATCATGATGCACGACTATATTCGCATCAAACATAAAGGAATCTTCAGGAACAGCACTGTCCATTATGCAGGTCCGTGTAGTATTCAATGCCAGGCCACATACTCTCCGGCGTCCCGAGCCGACCGCTGATTGATGCCCACGGCCTCACATGTGAGCTATGTGGTTGGGTTTTGGTATGCTGTGTTCGATATTCACCTCGGCCCCGGCCGAAGCGGTCAGAAACGCTTCTATTTTCTACACGTTACTGCACAACAGATCTTCAACCTTGGCCAGCCCAGACCGTCGAGCAGATCCCGAAATCCATCCCTACATGCCAAACCACACAAGCCCCCCCNNACCCTGAAAACCCTAAAGCCTAAAAAAACACGAGAACCCGTGGCGAAGATACGTTACCACTGAAACAGAATTTGCATTTTTTTGCATAGTCTTCGCACATATTCATACTACATTACGATGTGAACACCCGAACGTCTATCAACATGCTAAAGCCCCTGAACCTATGTAAACCCTAAGTTAAACGCTGCAGGCCTCGAAGAAGGCGCCTGTGTACATCATGATGAACCTCAGCTTCTCAGAGAGCTAAACCCTTAGCAATTACCTATACCAGTGCCCCAAAAGACCTACCTGTTCAGGGTTGATTGTTATGGTTTCTAAAGATGGTTCCTTACAAAGGTGGTTCTGTTGGGTACAGGTATACTATATATTTAAGCCTTCAAGGGGTTCCTATATCGGTACTTCAAGGCCTAAGCATATACTGAACCACAAAGCCGAAACCCCACCTGTAGCCGCAAGACCTGAATTTTTTGGGCTGCTTATTATGACTTCTATATTGTATATATGTATATATACACATGTTTATATGCATACAGTTACTTGTATTTTATACAGAGAGTTAGACGGTAAGCATTTTGGGCCACAGCTACAGTAACAGTAATGGACATCTAAACCCTAAAGCCTAAGCCATTAAACCCAAGGCCCAATGCAATCCTAAACCCTATACAGCGCCGTTCCACAGCCCTGGTTTAGGGCTATCAGGGTTAGGGGTTCTAAGCATAGGGTGTTAGAGCAGAGTTCGGGTTTTGGGGCTTTACGGTTTAGGGCTTAGGGTTTGATACAGGCTTTACGGTTAGGGCTTTAGAGCTTCGGGCTCCAAGGCTTAGGACTCAGAGGATTTAGGGTTTCGGTGTTTTACCGGTTTAGGGGTTTAGGGTTTAGGGTTGAGTGAGGGTTTTGAGTTTTCCTAGAGTTTTCGGCGTTGCTGCTTGGCAGGAATCAGGGTTAATTAGGGTGTAATTGCATGAGTTTCGGATCTCAGGGATCAGTCCGAGGTTCAAGGGTTGAGCTTCGGCGTTAGGACTCGGAGGATTAGAGCTTCAGGATACGATAGGGGCCTTAATCGTTGGAATAGGGCTTGGGAGTATATTCTACTAACAATATAACATAGGTAACTAGTTAGGCCCTATGTTATACCTGTAGGATTTAGGACGGGTGCGTTTATTCCAGAACCCTACACCCCGAAGCCATTGCTAGAAAGGGGCATGCTGGGAACTGCGACGAGCAAGCTCAGCAGCTGCGCCTCAGCACATCGCACCAAGAGGGGGAGTTCCGGCTGCGTAAACCAAGACTCTTGATAGACTGACAGGGGGCCTTAATAAGTTAGAATAGGGTTTGGGGGTCCTTTATAATATGATTATAATAAGGAGCCCCCAAAATAATGTAGGTAAGTGAAGCCCCTATATTGAGGGTTTGTGCTTTAGGGTCTAGGGTTTCGGACAGATCTCAGCCCTAAACCCCGAAACCTGGGCCGTGAACCCTAACAGCCTCGACCCCGAACCCCGAATTCAACTCGATACCCCCAAAACTCTACCTGTATAGGCTCATACCCTATCCCCTTGGTTAGGGTATCTACTTTTCTATATAGCGGATCCTAAACCTAAAAACTAGGTACCCCTAATACAAAAGTGGTAGGGTATGTGCCTCTAGGTAACCCTCAATCCTAAACCGTCAACCTCAACCCTGGCAGCAAAAGACTCAACCCTCAGACTCTTAACCTCCCAACTCTGACTTGTGACTTGGAGGTTCATGGGCATCTATAAAGTGTCGCTTAGGGTTTAGGGAGTAGGGCTTATAAGCAAGGGCAACTATAAGTGTAAACCACATTAAGGGGGTATAAGTATAAGTCTCTGAAGATCCCTTAGGGGTATTGTGGGACTTAAAACCCCACTTATGACTAGCCATGAACCTCCAAGGGAACCCCATACCAGCCTGCTGCAGAGCGAGGTTGCAGAGGTCCAGCCGCCCGGCCCCGTTTCCTCTCCGGATATTTGGGGCTCCTTTAACGGTCCGTTTGGGTAGTTCTCTAAATTCGGATCCCGTTTTAGGTCCCCAATTTAAGTACGGCACGGCACCCTTATAAAAAGGACCCTCAAAGGGATCCGAATTTGGAGAACTACTCATGTAAAGGTTCCTTGTATTGGAGGTCTCAAAAGGAGGGATGAAGGTAGGTAGGGTGAAGGATCCTACTTAAGGGGCTCTAATTTGGGGATTACCCCACATATCTTCATCCCACCCTTGAGGCCTTTGATTGAAGGGGGGTTTAAAAGGGTTCTATGTTTCAGCGCTTAGGGTTTAGGTTCTTGGGGCTGCCGAGTTTTTCAGTTTATAGGGCCAAAGTTTATGGAGTTTGGGGGTCTTCTCTATATAGTATAGAGGCCTGCCTACCTATGACAGGTTCCGGGGGCATGGTTCATTCTTTAGAGACTAAGGAGACATCCTTCAGAAATTCTTGCTTCGGACCCCCACTAAGAAAAACTGCGTCGGTCACCCTCAAGGTTCCTGCAAGTCCAGTGCTGCCTGCAACCTTCTACGTGCCGCCTGTTAAGGTTTTTAACGCACAAAAACCAGGAAACGATCCAGAAATCAACCCTATTCACCTCAGAGGCCTGACCTCACACCCAAACCTTCGAGAATCGACCCAAGACCATAAATCCAGACCCCATAACCTCAAGCCCGGAGCCTTACAAAACACCCTAAAACCATAATCCCTACGCCGGACAACCGTAAACCCTAAACCTAAAAACACTAGACTCGAGACCTGCCACTGACACCCTAGAGCCTAGACCCTATAGTCCGCAACGCTAAGCCTACAAACCGAAGCCGAAAGTTGCTTCAGCCTATAGCAGCCCTTACAAGACTCACATAGTACCCCTGCTAGTGCCCTCATGGTACCCCTTTATCGTACCTCATAGTAAAACCTTTTCTAAAAATAGTAACCCTTGTAATAAACCTTATAGCCATAGAAACAATCCTTGTAGTGATACTTTGCTTCAGCCTATACTAGCCCTGATAGTACCCTCATAGAACCCTTTAGAGCACACCTTCATAGTAACCCTTTATAGTAACCTCATGAAACCTTATAGTAAAGCATATGATGAACCCAAAAGAACCATACAGCAACCCGCCCAGTACCCTCCTGGTACCCTTTATAGTACCGCCCTAGTAACCTCTGATAGTATTCTTTGTAGTAACCCCTTATAGTAGCCCCTCCTCCAAACCCTAAACACTAAACCCTAAACCCTATCACCCTATAACCCTATACTAGAACCCTAAACCCTAAACCCTGTACCCCTATACTATAACCCTAAACCCTATAATCCTATAACCCTATAACCCTAAGATAGTAAGATCCTGGCTAAGGCCCACGAGGTCCCTGTGACACCAGCGTAGAGAGAGCGCTGTTCACCTCGGCCGCTCCCGGGGGGTTTTCTGGAGGTCGGAGCTGCGGGCGGTACACGTACACCGTAGGGTCTTGGGCTTGAAGGGTTGAGGGTTTAAGGGTTTAAGGGTTCAGGGTTCAGGGTTTAAGGGTTTAAGGGTTTAAGGGTTCAGGGTTCAGGGTTTAAGGCAGGGGTTTTGGGTTGAGGGTTCAGGGTTCAGGATTTAGGGGGTTTAGGGTTCAAGGTTTGGGGTTCAGGGGTTTGAAGGTTTGGAGGATAGGGGTCCGGGATGCGCAAATTCGGGCTTGAGCTCGGCATGCAATCAGCCTTTGCGGCTTGGACTCAGGGTTTTGGGAGTGAAACCCTGAAATCTTAAATAAGATCATGGGACTTATCAACTGGGGTTGTAAAGCAGGTAACTCTAGATGCAAGTGCTTGCAGCACAAGTTGGGGCACTTATCCTGGATCCATGTTGGGACTGTGAGCCCTGTAACTCGATTACGTAAGACCATCAACAACCCGTAAACCCGAAGCATAAAAACCCTAGAAACGCCACATACTCTAAAACAAAACCCAAATTACCCTTAAACCAAAACTCTGAAAAACCCGATATGCAAGACCCTAAACCCTAAACCCAAAACCCTAAACCCCTGAACCTTAAACCTAAACCCCTAAACCCCAAACCCTAAACCCTAAACACTAAACCCCTAAACCGCTAAACCCCAAACACAGTTCAAGCCGCCCCCATGCCCAGGCTGAAGCCAAACACATTCTGCGCCATCGCTCCCAGCCCGACGGAGCCCAGGAGGTACCTTTTCTGAAGAGCCAAGGTTTAGGGGTTTAGGGCTTAAGTGATAGAGTTAAGGGTTTAGGGTTTAGGGTTTAGGGTTTAGGGGCTAGGGGTTTAGGGCTTAAGTGTTAGAGTTAAGGGTTTAGGGTTTAGGGTTTAGGGCTTAGGGGTTTAGGGCTTAAGTGTTAGAGTTAAGGGTTTAGGGTTTAGGGTTTAGGGTTTAAGTTTAGGGTGTAGGGTTTAAGTTTTAGAGTTTAGGGTTTAGAGTTTCGGGTATATATATATATATATATATGTATATAGGGTTCAGAGTTTTGGGTTTTGGGTTTTGGGTTCAGAGTCTGGGGTTTAGGGTTTCGGGTTTCGGGTTGAGGTGCAAGGATTCTACTCAGGCGTCTATTGAGATTTTTCCCCAGAAAGCCCTGAACCCCTAAACCCGAAACCCAAAGCCCTAAATCCTAAACCCTCAACGGTTCTACTCTATGAAGGGTTTTATGACAGGTGTCTGGCGTAGCAGGGAGGGTTCCAAGAATTCCAGGCTTCAACTGAGGGTTCCATTATGGGTTCCATGAAGTGTTTGGGGTTTAGGGGCTTAGGGTTTAGGGTTCTGTTTGGGGTTCCATTAGGGGTCCGAGTGAGGAGGTTTTCAGCATTCCATTAAGGTTTGGGATGTAGGGGCCTGAACAACCAGAAAAGACGCTTTGGGGTTATATCTCTACTTGAAGTAGACGGACGGGGATTTCAGTAAAGCTTCTTACGGGTGTCTGGCGTTCAGGGAAAGACCTGGACTTTTACGGCAAGTACTTGCAGCTTGAGGTTTAAGCTGTCGGGCTCCCTAAACCCAAAACCCTCAACCCTACTGCAAGCCCGAAACCCAAAGCCCTAAACCCTAAAACCCCAATGCCTCAATCTCAGAGCCAGAACCTCAAACCCTAAACCCAAAGCCTTTAAAGGAATCCGATGTCTCCTAGTACCTTTGTACCCTTATAGTACCGCAGTGCTCATCATCCAGCGCCGCAACGAAGAATAAGGTCGTGAGCCCAGTAGCCTGGTGAGCTCCAAGCGCGTTGAATTTAGGGGTTCTTGTAGGGGGTTTAGGGTTTAGGGTTTAGGGGTTTAGGGTTTAGGGTTTAGGGTTTAGGGTTCTTGCCAGGACCCCCCAATGCCCTTTAATGGAGCCCTTGTGGTCCTTAGTAGTGGGTTTTCGGGGGATCATAGAGGGTAGTTGGGGGGTCTAGGTGTAGGGCTTTGGGTTAGGGTTTAGGGTTTGGGCTTTGTGCTATGCGGGTTGATGGGTGGAGGGTTGAGGGAACTGCCTCTTCTTGTTGCTACCTCAAGCGCTGGTGAGAGTCTTGAGGTCGGTTTTGCCAGCATCAAAGTCAAAGTGGCGGTGGTTTTGGATTACTGTCAGACAATAGCCGTGCCTATGTCAATAAGTACAGGGATGACTACTATCGTATTATCCTGATCCGTTCTGGTAACCCCCTTCTCATGCCTCTCGTCGTTGCTGCACGGAGAATATCGAAGATTCAAGAGCGGCTCTTGGGCGCAATCTCTGAGGTGCATCGGGATACGTATTTTGAGTTTCGTCATTCTTTGCTGTCGGAGAGAGAACATCACACTACAATTTCGGACCCTGAAAAGCCAATGTGTTTCAATGCCGTGCCCAACTGAAAAAAAAAACGACCTGCGGAAACCATTTTCTCGCGGGAAAAAGCAGAGAGCCCTGTTTGGATTCTGCAAATACGAATATTAACTCTTATAGTGGTAATATACTTGTGGTATACTAGCAATATACTGATGATATGCGACTTAGTACGTAGTGATGTACAATATTTTTCCAACCGCATACCAATAATGTACCAATGATACACTGGTTAATATACCAACAAGAGTAACATTTACTAGTAATGTATCACAAGCAAAACTATGCGAATAAAGACGAATACTAGACGAACAAAAACTAAGCCCTCAGCCCCAAGGCAGTAGACACGGAAACCAAAAGCCTAAACCCTAAACCCTAAACCCTTATAGCACCCTTGATAGTAACCTTTTTTAAGGAACCACCCT